TCTGCCGGAATACCCATAAGAACCAGGGTCCTCAAACAGATTTAGGGTGGAGGGAAAGAGAAAGCAAACTCTTTCAAACCAAAGTTTTCACCTCTCCTGTCACTTTTGTTCCTCAACCTTCTTGCTGGCGGGGGGTTTGGGGGGGTGGGGTCGGGGGGGATTACCTGGTGCACCAAGGAAAATAATTAGCACATCTAACTCCTAAGAAAGTAAGGCACAACGGGGAAGATAATTAGTACATCTAAGTCAAGCAGAGAAAAACAGATACCATATGATCATGCTTACATGTGGAATCTAAAACAAACAAACAAGCAAACAAAACTTCTAGAAAAAGCGATCAGGCTTGTTGCCAGAGGTGGAGTACGGGGGGAGAAGGAATTAGAGGAAAGTCGTCAAAAGGTACAAACTTCCAGTCATGATGTACAACGTGAAGAATGGCTAGTACTACTGTGGAAAGTTAAGAGAGTAAATAAATCCCAAGAATTCTCATCACAAGGAAATTATTTTCCTTTTTAAAAAAATATATCTACAGGAGAAGATGGATGTTAGTTAAAGCTATTGTGGCAAGGTAATCGTTTGACAACAACTGTAAATCAAGCCATCATGTTGTATGCCTCATGCTTATACAGTACTGTATGTCAATTATGTCTCAATAAATCTGAGAAAACAATCCAGGTGAGTCCAGAGTGATACATGAAGAATTGTTTGTTAACTTAAGACTACATCACTGGTGTCTTTTGCCTCATGGTTGACTGCGTTTAGGTCCCTGCCTTAATTAGAAGAGAGTCACGCGAGAAGTACAAAAAATGCTTAAGGAAATTTCAAACAAGTGGGGTGTAATAGTGTTGTATTATGGTTATAATCTGCATTTTCCTGATGTCTATTGTAGTCAAGCACTTCTCATAAAAGACTTCTGGTTTTGGCAATATTATAACCTGAAAAATGTTCCAGCTGAAAAACCTTTTCAAAGATGGATAAAATACAGTAACTTTCTGCTAAGCGATCAGATCTTAAAAGTCCTTATCATGAAATGCCTGGGTGGCTCAGTCGGTTAAGCAGCCAACTTCAGCTCAGGTCATGATCTCACAGATTTTGAGTCTGAGCCCCGAGAGCCTGGAGCCTCTTTCATATTCTGTGTCTCCCTCTCTCTCTGCCCATCCCCCCACTCACCCTCTGTCTGTCTCCAAAAAAAGAATAAACTTAAAAAATTTAAAAAAAATTCTTATCACAAGGGAAAAAATTGTAACTATGTATGGTGAAGGATGTTAATTAAACTTATTGTGGTAATCATTTCACAAGACAGTTGACCCTTGACCAACATGGATTTGAACTGTGTGGTGGTCACTTATACGGAGATTTTTTTATAGTACAGTCATGTATTTTCTCTTCCTTATGATCTTCTCAATAACATTTTCTTTTCTCTAGCTTACTTTTTTTTTAAGTTCAGTATAGTTAACATACAGTGTTCTATTAGTTTCAGGTATACAATAGGGATTCAACAATTCTATACTTTCCTCAATGCTCATCCTAAGTGTACTCTTAATTCCCTTCACCTATTTCACCCATCCCCCTACCCACCTCCCCTCTGGTAGCCATCCATTTATTCTTAAAGTTATAGCTGCTTACTTTAAGAATACAATATATAGGGGCACCTGGGTGGCATAGTCGGTTAAGCGTCCGACTTTCGTTTAGGTCATGATCTCGCGGTTCATGGGTTCGAGCCCCACGTCGGGCTCTGTGCTGACTGCCAGCTCAGAGCCTGGAGGCTGTTTCAGTCTGTGACTCCCTCTCTCTCTGACCCTCCCCTGCTCACGCTGTCTCTCTCTCTCTCTCTCTCCTAGAAATAAATAAAACATTAAAAAAAAGAATACAATATATAATGCATATAATATACAAAATATGTGTCAATCAACTGTTTATGTTATTGGTAAGGCTTCTGTCAACAGTAGGCTATAAGTAGTTTTGGGGGAGCCAGAAGTCATCTGTGAATTTTTGACTGTGTGGAGGTCAGCATCCCTAACCTCACATTCTTCAAGGGTCAACTGTACATACATATATCAAATCACTATGCTGTACACCTAAAACTAATACAATGTTTTATGACCATTATATCTCAATTTAAAAAAACAGAGCAACTTTCTCCTAAATATATGGCTGAATTTTAAGAAGGTAAGGAAAACCCTCCAAGATGAAAAATGTAGGAAGAACTAAAGACAAAATTAAAAATTTAAGCTGAGACTAGGACTACCTGGGGGTAAAGAATCTATCTTATGAAGCCAGGGGCTTGACTTTTGGTTTTCTCTTTTTGATTGGTTATGGAGTTTCTTTTTTAAATAAACTTTTTTTAGTAAATGTCTTTGAAGTATGACAAGCACAAATCATAATTGCATGCTTTGATTAATTCTAACAATGTGAACAGATCCATGTAAGCAGCACTCACACCACGAAGCAGACTTTTTTGCAAGCGATCCAGTAGCTTTCCTTGTGTCCTGTTTAGTCACTACTCACCTCTCCACGGGAAATCCTAACAGCGCCAAATTACTTTTGCCTGTTTGGCCTTTATATAATGAAAACACACAGTAGGTACTCCTCAAAGTCTGGCCTTTTTTGCTTAACATCATGTTTGTAAGATTTATCTATGCTTTTGCATTAAGTTGTGATTCACTCGCTCTCGTTGGCATATAGTAGTCCGGTGTATGAATATACTGTAATTTGTTATCCTTTCTACTGCAGATGGACATTTGGGTTGTTTTCACATTTGAGTTATATTGAATAGTGCTACTGTTAACATACTATACCTACCTTTTTGTTAGCATCTGCACATATTTTTCTGTATATACCTAAGAGCAGAATTGGTTGACCATAGAGTACATTCCTATATTCCTACAAAATGTAAGTGTAGGATGCTGATAGTTCAGTAGATACTGCCAAATAATTTTCCAAAGTGGATGTACCAATTTATTTATTTATTTTTAGGTTTTAAAATTTTTTATTTTTTTAAAGTTAACATGTGCATAAAGGGAAACTGAGAAACACAAGAAGCAAAGAACAAAGTCATCCGTAATCATCACAAGCAGTTTCTAGTTTGACTTCTAGGTCCCATGTGTGTACCTACACAACTAAGCATTTTAATGTAATTAAGACTGAACAGTTACGTATCATGCTTTTTTACACACCATGAATATTTACCATTTCAAAGTCTCAAAACTACGAGTATTTTGATAACCAAGAATACACTACACCAACGCCATCTGAAAGAAAAAAATGTAATCCTGCGTTTCTTGGCGACAAACATGGCAGCAGGCCTCAAGATAAAGATACTGGCAGAGTTACAATTAAAATACCGCATTCCCTTAATGTTCAATTAAAAATGAGACAAAGTAACAGAGTATACAAAGTATAATGCTTCTAAAAGAATTCATTCTCCAACCTATACTATTCAAATATTAGCAAGGAGGTATGTTTCCACTGAATCACTTAATGTATTCCTATAGGGATGTACCAATTTATATTTCAACCAGCTGTATGAAAGCTCCACCAACACTCAGTATTGTTTGTCATTTTCATTTTGGCCATTCTGATCGGAGCACAGTAGTATTGCGTTATGGTCATAATTTGCATTTTCCTGATTACTGTTAAAGTTGAACACATTTTCATATGTTTCTTGGAAATTAGGGTATCCTCTTTTGCAAAGAGCCTGTACAAGTCCTTTGCCCATATGTCTTTTGGGTTGTCTGCCTTTTTCTTATTGATTTGTAGGAGTTCTTTAAATGTTCTGAACTATAAGTCCACATATATACAAAAGAAGTCATTTTTTTTCTGTTCTGTACTTGGCTTTTCATTGTCTTCACGATGTCTTTTGATAAATACAAGTTTTTAATTCAATATAGACCAGTCTAACAGTTTCTTTCATTTACGGGTAGAGCTTTTTGTGTCTTTAAGAAATCTTTGCTTAGCCCAAGGTCATGGAGACATTCTTCTATGTTTTCTTTTAAATATTCTATTGTATTTAACATTTAGATCACACTCCATCTGGAAGTTATTGTTTCTGTATGGCCAAACTTCATTTCGTTTCAAATGGATATCCAATTGACACAGAACCATCTTTCTACTGCAGCATCCTGTTTTTCATAATTCAGGTACCATATATGTGTTTCTGGACTCTATGTTCTGTTCCACTGGTCTGTCATCTATCTTTGCACCAGGACCATGCTGGTAAGACTGGTAAGATAAAGACTGGTGTAGAATGAATCCTTACAAAGCTACAAAATAGAAGAAAATCCTGTTGTGAAACATTAGTAGACCCAGTTATGGCATATCAGACACTTCCCCCGAGAATCTCAGGGAAAAGAATTACCATCTAGAGATTATTTTAAAACATGTTTAAGATACATAAAAAGAAGAGATCAGAAACGGGAAAAAAAGCAATGTTTTTTTAATAAAAGACTAAGATGACTGAAAAATGAATCAAATAGAATTTTGAGGAAAGTAACATAAACTCCTTAAAATTGACAGTATTCATTGAATCCATGCAAGTGGCAGACCTTAGTGAAATATGTGATAGGTTTTCACCGTGGAAGCATAAACATGACCCCTGATTATTGTCCTTTCCAACTGCAGACATCAAGCAAACTTCCATCTTTTAAAAAAAAAAAATGTTTATTTTTGAGAAAGTACAAGCAGAAGAAGGGCAGAGAGAGGGGGACAGAGCATCTAAAACTGGCTCTGCCCTGACAGTAGTGAGTCCAGTGTGGGGCTCGGACTCACGAACCTCGAGATCATGACCTGAGCCGAAGTCAGACATTCAACCGACTGGGCCACCCAGGTACCTTCCATCTTTTGTTGTGACATGCTTAATGCAACAGCAGACAAGAAATAAGCAGGAAATATTCTGAATGGACTGGGCATCCCTACCGATTCATCTCCAGAGTATTTGTCTGCCTTAAATGTTAAATGTCATAAATGTTAGTGAAACACCACCAAGAAGTAGTGCTCAAAAAATGACCCAGCATGCTAAAAAAAGGAAGAAGAAGTCTTACACCACTCCCAGGAAGAATAAGCATAAGAGAAAGAAGGTTAAACTGGCAGTTCTGAAATACTATAAGGTGAATGAGAATGGCAAAATCAGTCGCCTTCATCGGGAGTGCCCTTCGGATGAATGTGGTGCTGGAGTTTTTATGGCTAGCCACTTTGACAGACATTATTGTGGCAAATGTTGTCTGACCTACTGCTTTAACAAACCCGAAGACAAGTAATTATATATGGGTCAATAAAAGACATGAACTAAAAAAAAAAAAAAAAAAAAAATGACCCAGCAAAATAGAAATTCAAAGGGAGCTTTCCAGATGGTTAAGCAGTGAGCGTTGGAGGGGTTTTTTAATGCCACCTACGCAAAATAAGCCGCATCTGGTTGATTCAGGCTCAGGTTGTGTTACAGAATTATGGAGACATAATTCTCCATATTTACTTTCCCCAACCTGGACAGTGGAACCGGCTTTTGGAGTCAATTCTGGATTTAAATTCTGGTTATACCAGTTATTGCTGTATCTGGCCCAGAGCGGACATCTAGTCCCTGAGGCCTCCTTTCTCCCATTCCAGAAGCCTTAACAGAGCCCGAGTACACACAACGATCGTGGTTTTGCCCATCTGAGTCATAAGGACCCTCATGAAATGGTAGCGATTTACAATCACCGGGTCGGTCACTGCGCTATTTTACATACATTATTTCATTCCAATCCTCGCAATAACCCTGAGATAGATACAGATACAGATAAAGATAAATTTTCCCATTATTCGCCCAAGATCACACACTAAATTGCACCAGAAATGAGATTTGAACCTGTGTCTGTTCTGGGTTCTTTCCATAACACTAAGTTGCCTGACTTGTGGTTTATTTCGATGCTTTTTATGTTCCGCTTCCTCCTGAACAACATATTTTCACAACTTTTTACACACTGGCAAGTAAAGGCCTCTGCTGATTTTCCTCTAGGCAGCTTTGTGGGGCCTCAGGACAGTCTTGTTTCTGTTGCGGGTCTGGCGGCTCCCCTCAGCTGTACTCGCTGCCCACTCTGATGCAAACCCCTCCTCCAGGACAGGCTTTATTGATCTTTATTGATGTTGCCTTCAAAGCCAGGGCAGCCATCTGAGAGGATGGAAGGAACCAGTAAAAGATTGGATTCTGGGGAGCCATCCCAGGTAGAGCTGGGTTTTTACGCACCAGCACGTTTGTGAAGCAAAATTGGTGTGCTCAGAACTGCAATTAATGAGCACAAGTGAAGTTCAGTTCTTTGTGTCAACAAGGGAGAGAGCGTGTTTCTGAATGTAATTCCGACTGCATCAAGGTCATTTTAGAGCTGGTGGAGCTCTATTTGTCTTAGGAAATCTCGAAAACTTTTATAGGGAATTCGGAAAATATTTTCAGCCAGCAGGAAAGATAAAATCCCTGCACACAAAGTACAGGCATGGGCCCAGAGACTGAACAGACAGACTGCTGTAAAACCCCCGTTTAATAAGGCATTAAAATGCCATCGACCTGGACACATTTAAAAAAAAAAAAAAAAAAAAGAGCAATGAAAACAAATACCATTCAAATAATTAGGATCTTATGCTTGAGGCCAGCCCTGATGCCAAGCAGGGACTCCCCTGCAGGAATCGGCGCTGAGCCTGAGCCGAGCCCCGGAAGGAGGGATCGGCTGAGACAAAGGCAGTTCTGGCCCCGGAATGTGTTCCAGCCCCGGAATGTGTTCCAGCCCCCCTCCTCCCCGCCCGCGCTACCCCGGCCCCTCGACGCTGAAGGCAGGGCATTTGAAGGAGCGTTCCTCGCCGACGTCTTGGGCGACTTTACGGCCCAGGAACTCACGTGGGGCTTCGGTGCTCGGTGCTCGCTCGGGAGGATTACTGAGCTGCCCCGGGAAGGGTCGAGAGCGCGCTCCCTACCGTGGCGGCGAGGCCTGCGGCGCCGCGCTCTTCTGTTCCCTGAAGGACAAGGAGGCATTTGAAGGCCTACTTTATTGGGTAAATATGCTCCAAATTGGGGTGAAGGTTGGAGAGTGAACATTTGTTTACGAACGTAGCCGTGAGGGGAAAAAAGATGTCTTTTCACTAGCTCCTGCAAATACGGAAGCTGCCCCCGAGCTATTTCCTGCCGCCCAAGCTCCCGAGTTGCTGAAGGCCAGGTGCACAGCAGCGCATTTCATTCCCACCCTCCCCCAAGGTAGTTCCCCAGGGCTCAGCCCCAGAAATTAAAAAAATAAAGGACTTGTCTTCTCCTTATTTCTGCGGTGATCATTTGTTTGCTGTGCAGTGCTGTGCAAAGTTGCTGTTACCAAATGATGCCTCCCACGTCTAATTGGAGGAGCTTCCGTACAATTGAATTTTAAATACCATTATTAAGCCTCTGGTACAAATGGAGAGGGTCTGGTACTTTTCACCTTTTCATTCGCTTTTAAAACTTTCTCCTCTGAGTCTGTGTCACTGATCAGTTAACTTTTGTTAAAGACTCCTGTAGACCAACTTGTGACTCCCTGAACATGTTTCTAAGATTTTTGTTTCTTCCTCTTCTTGTACATTTCCTTTTCTTCCAATAGATTGTAATCTCCAGCAAAATTTGTAGAGGAGAGGCTGGAGAAAGGGAGAGAAGAAGAAAGAGAGAAAGGAAAAAGAATGGAAGAAATATAATTAAAGTCTAAGCACTTTCTGGGGTTCATTTGAATTGGACCAGTTGGTTTCGTTTTGCAATACAAAAGAAAAATTCAGGCCTTGGGGCCTAAAACTTTCATTAAATTCAGCTTTGGTGAGTTCTAATAATACAGCGGTTTATTAAAAGCGTGAAAAATGTCATTGCAGAGGCCTTCCCCAAGCAGCAGCCTCACCTCTTGGGTATGACTCATGCTTCCTCCATGGGCGCCCGAGCTGTAAAGTTGTGGGCAGGATATTTAAGTTCCAGTGAACCAGCTCCTTGAATCTTTCTTGCCATTTTACTGGGATCATGTCCCAATTAGCAATCTTGCCATCCAGAGCAGTAGCTGGACAGCAAAAGTGAGAGAGGGGCTGGGTGCTTAGGGCTGTTGGAAATGATTAGGCCAAAAGAGTGGCGTAAAACTTAGAACTTAGTCCCTGGCAGGAGTCTGCTGGAGGAAATGAAGGGATCAACAACGCGAGAGGAGCACTGTGGCCGATTGTTTCCGACCACAGCCACAGGCTTTTCTGTGTGTGCTGGAAATTGACCTCGTCAAACGCTGAGGATGCAGGCTGGGCAAGGATAATGATAAGGCAGGTGATGATACTAAATCATCCACCTCTCGGAGCTGATGAGATTGTTCAATACCTTGCCAATCGTACCCCCTCCTTAGTCTGTAAAGAGCAGTGATTTTTTTTTTCATGAAAATGCAGAAATTGGCGTGGGCTCTTGCTACCTAGACCAACAGGAAGCTTAATAATTGCAATCCCTTTCATTTCTTACTATTTTCATGCAGAGCATCTCATTTGGCCCATGAGCCATGCCAAGCCTAGGCCGTTGGCAGCACGAATAGAGCTCATCCTTCTTTGTAAAGAGGAAATCAGAGCCAAGAAAGACTGAGGGATTGTCTAAGGTCTCCAACAAAATAGTGGCAGAGTTGGGACTTTCTTTCAGGAACAAATTAATGTCGAATGTCACTGAGCATGGCAACGAGTTTTGAACGAAGGAGCAAAAAACTCAAGCTGTCTCTTCTTGAAGGCACAGGTGAAGACGGCTGGCTTCTCTGCTAGAGGGATACCCTTTCCTAAATGTCCTTGAATGATGTCTTGAATCCTGGATGAGCCCCAAACCCCTGGGAGTGTGAGGTGCTCAGAGGACTGGAAAGACAGAACAGGATTCTTCCCAGCATGGCCCTCCGGCTCCCCTCTGCACTCTAGACCTAACTGCACGTAGGCTTTGGCGTCTGTTAAAGAAGGCTTAACTGTGAGACAGGAGAAGCTATAAAGTCCCGAAAAGCAATAAAAGGAATTTCCCAGAAAAGAAAATGTCTACATTTTTTCAGCATCTAAAATAAAACCCGTGCAGATGGGCATCCCATGTTAGGGAAGGGGGAGAGCATTAATTGGGCACAGTTTTATCTGTGTTATCTCATTTGATCTGTTCTTTAACCTTGGAAGATAGGTAGCACTTTATTATCCCTAATTAAATGTAGGGAGATATTGGGGCTCACAGAGATGAGGCATACAGCTAGTAAGTGATAGGCTGCAGGCCCATTGTCTCTCCACTACCTCACTGCGCCTCTCCATCCAAAGCTCGGGCAAAGCCATCTCTGGGAGGTCATGCAGAGCACAGAGCCTCACAGTGACTGCTCTAGCACGCCTTAGTCTCCATCCATCCTTTTTTTTTTTTTTTAATGTTGGGGGGGTCATGCATGTATGTGTGCACACATGAGGAGGGGCAAAGAGAGAGGGAGACAGAGGATCTGATCTGGGCTCTGCACTGACAGCTGAGAGCCCACAAAGCCGCAAACCCGAGATCATGACCAGAGCCGAAGTCGACGTTTAACTGACTGAACCCCCAGGTGCCCTTCATCCTTTTTTAAAAATCTCACCTCCCTTCAGCAAAAAGCTTTAAAGCACATATCCCCATATGTTATTTATTATTTATAAAGTTATTTATCAACTTTACATATTAGATTAGAGCCAGATTAGATATTTGAAAAGGATGAGATAAATATAAATAGAAAAAGGAATTTCTGTATTTCCTTCCATTGCTCTTTTTTGGAGCAAGTCCTGCTATAGATCCAAACACAGCCCTGGTTATCACTAAGAAATTCATGAGTGCAGACGTTATTATTCACGGACTCACAGACCTTCAAGGGAAGGTGAGGAGCGATGCAGAAGAAGGGAAAGGAGGCTCAAAAAGAAGGCGAGCCACACAGCCTTCTTGACGGAACTGTGACTAGACCCCACATCTCTCACACCCTGTCCCAAGCGCTTTTCACTGCAATAAGAAAAAACCAAAAGCTCATTTTCTTGGGCTAGAAAATTCAGGTCTGCAATGTGACAGGCCAGAACCTGGCCTGAGCCTTCAGTGCCGCATCTGGAGTACACTCAGGTCCATCGACTGCCCTGAAGAGACAGCCCTTGGTTTTCAGTCTGGGCCACAGAATATATGGGCCAGGCCATCAGCACGTGGGGTCCAGGGAAGGAAGGCTGTTATTAAAAGCAGCTCACATAGTTTCCATCATTCCTAATGGAAGCACGTCATTTTACAGACCCAGCCCTTGCTTCAGGCACCCCAGCTAGGAATTCTTGGTGTACAGAAGAGTG